TTGTGACAAGTATATTTTTGATATTGATTCATCTACTTTATTTCAAATTATTTATTTCATTCGTAAATAAATTTGACGGAATTAAAATTTTTTGTGCTAAGAAGTTTTGCTTTTTTTTCAGACCTGCCTCTTCTTCAAACCTAAATCATTTTGATGAATTCTTCTTACTTTGAAAGTTAAACAAAACTTTTGAAAAAAATTTTTGAAATAGGCTCATATATCTCATTTGATCTATATCATCAATTTAATATTTTCGCTGTTATACAACTAAATATAATCTTTAATTACATGTTTTCTACTATCATATTACAATTACATTTCAGAAATGATAAAAGAAAAAAAAGAATCATGCAGTAATTCAACATTTAGGAAAATGGAAAAATTAAAATGACCTCATTGTAGTCAATTAAGTAAGCTTTGATGAAATTTCGGAAAGAGAACCAAAAAAAAACAGTATTTATTTCAATTATCAATGCTATCCTTACTAAATATAACTAGCAGCGATTTTTGCATTTTCAATTTTTTTCATCTTCTGCTTTTTTCAAATAGTAAAGATCATTTGAAGGACATCGTTTCCAAAAATATAAATTTTGGAGAATAGAAAAAAAAAAAAAGGAAAAGAATGAAATAGTTCGAAGTTGGCTATAGCTATGAATGTTAATATTTACATAGTCTCCGACCAAAAATAATTTTAAGCGAACTTTTCTATTGTATTCAAAATGCTACCACTTTATTCATGCAATAAGTTATGAATTCCTAATTAATAATAACGATAATACTAATGATAACAATTATATTAATAATATAATAATAATGATGATAATAATAATAACAGTGATAATAATAATGAATGAGTGATTTAATTAATTAATATTTTTCTGAGATACAAGCTTTCTGAGAAATAAGATTTGAGCAATATTTGAGGATAATGTCCCGGAATTTTCTGCTGATAAACTGTACAGAAATAAATTGCTTACGACACTTTTTGTATTTATATTTTATGTATAAATACACGTGTATTCTAAGTTTAAAGATTGTATAAACTATGATCTAATAACTATAATATTTACTTTACTTAGTATCATAATCTATTATTTCTAAGCTCAAAATTATATGTTGCAATTTAGGAGCCGTTTTTAGGAGCTACAATTTAGAAGTGTTAAGTTCCTATTCTATTATTATCATTAAATCGTCGATAAATACACATTATGCGTAATTTCCTGACAATGATACGTAATCATTTGCAATAAAATATATCCTATCAAAAGCGAAACGTTGATTCATAATTAATTAAATTTACCTTTTTAATTAGTAAAATATCATATGGTTTGATATTTAAATGAACCAATCCAATCTTTAGCCATAATAGCAATAATTTGTAATAGCTTAAGTTTAAATAACAATTTTCCTGTCTTGTATATATAACTCAGAAGAAATGTTCAAGAAGAATAAATAGTACGAAAACAATAAAGTAGAATTAAGAACTTTTTAAATGTTAGCATATGTATGTGTGCATGTGTGCATATGCAATGAGTACGAAAATGTTTCAGATAAGGGATGAAACGTCTCGTCTCCTCGAGAACAAACGAGTGCACAATGAGAACAACCCAAAAACGACTGTAAATCAAAAAGTAAACTGCTGTGTATTGTATTATTTATGTATGTGTGCATGCGTGTAGGTTTATGTGCATGATTATGTGTATGTGTATATTTATAAGCGTGTTTTTGTGGGTTGTATGTGAGTGTGTATCTGTGCAGTGGATGTGTAGGCATATGTGTCATTTATGCATATGGCCATTAATCCATTCGCGAATGGCTAACTGGAAGGAAACTAATCATCTTCGCATCTTTCCATATCAATTTATCATACCATATGTCACATTATATCGCCACACCATATACCATGAATCATGCCATATCACATATCAGCATATTATACCATACCATCCTACTATCACCAGATACTATACCAGGCCACCACCATATACCATATTACAGTGTGTCATGCTGTGCCATTTACCATATACCATTCTATCCATACACCATATATCATACATCATATATCGTGCCACACCACACCATATCGTACATCATACACCTTATATCGTACTGTATATACACCGTGCAATATGTCATACCGTATATAACACCATACCATATGTATATCATATATTACATATCACACCACGTATCACATATCATATGTATATATGTCATCACATGTCATATCATACATGTTATCATTATTAAACGAAAAGATTTAAATATAATTCCGAAATTTTTATTCAGGAATATCTAATAATGCATTAGAAATGATGCATTTCATGATATAATAATGGTTATTATTATTAAAAAACGTATTTTCTTATGATTATAATCGCAATTATCATTTATAATGTAGCCCATTATTATTCCTCATAACTCATTATTTTTTTATTCTTTTTCCATTCTTATTTAGTTCTCACTTTCTAAATGCCAGCCATGTAAATACGAGTCATGTAAATTTTTTTTCCCAAAATGGTTGCAATTTGAAATTATCATTGTTGAGTTGTAATGGTTCCGAATAAGGAAGTACTATGAGATAATCAATCAGCATTTTAGGTTAGTAGAAAATTATATTACGCATTAAACTTTCATCAAATTTATCAATGATGTTTATGAGAGATAATCAGTCAACATGGTCATTTGGATTTTGTAAAATTTAAATTTTAACTTACTATGTTTTAAGAAACTGGAAATTAGTTCGAACAATTTCCATCAAAATGTTCGGCCAAAAATTAAATTTACAATGATTATTGTCTGATATTCTGTTTGGTATTCTACTCATTCTTCTTTTTTTCTTTAATGGTTTTTTTAAAACTTATTTTAATATGGTTTTTTAACCCAAATCTAGGTTTTATTTCAACTTAATTTAACGCTTGCTTCAATTAAATTGGTTTTGCAGAAATTATATTCTTTTTTGATCTATGGTAATAGTTGAAGATAAAACAACAACAATACAAAGTACTATTGCTACTGCAATTATTATCACCACTAATAATTCTAATACTACTACAACTACTGTTATTATCAATAACGAGGAATTTGAAATAAAATTGATATTTTTGACCAATTATTTATTAAACTCACTCTTTTATTTTCGTTCTAATTTCATCCATCTATTAATCAATTATTTATTATTATCAGTGTTATTACTGTTAGCAATAAATGATACAAACTGCTCAAAAATAAAAAGGAAAAAAAGGAAAAAAAATGCTTGTAATTTACATGTAAATAATTATCTAAAATACAAATAAACAATAACAACCACAACAACGAGAGAAAAATAACATCAGTAAAAATTGTTGGCTTATTATTACTAAAATAAACTTAAATCAGCTTTAAAATATTTGCTGAAAATTCTAAATGTAATTTAGTAAAGAAATGGTATGAGTTAATCAATTAATCAAAATATCTTCTAGTGATATTGTTACACTGTAGAGAAATGGTATGAGTTAATGAATTAAAAATGTCTTCTAGTGATCTGTAGAGAAATGGTATGAGTTAATGAATTAACCAAATGTCTTCTAGTGATATTGTTATATCTGTAGAGAAATGGTATGAGTTAATCGAAATGTCTTCTAGTGATATTGTTATATCTGTAGAGAAATGGAATGAGTTAATGAATTAATCAAAATATCTTCTAGTGATGTTGTTACATCTGCAAAGAAATGGTGTGAGTTACTGAATTAATCAAAATGTCTTCAAGTGATATTGTTATATTTGCAGAGAAGTGACATGAATTAATCAAAATGTCTTCTAGTGATATTGTTATATTTGCAGAGAGTGGCATTAATTTATCGAAATGTCTTCTAGTGATATTGTTATATCTGTAGAGAAATGGTATGAGTTAATGAATTAAAAATGTCTTCTAGTGATCTGTAGAGAAATGGTATGAGTTAATCAACCACAAAATAGATATTATTATTCTGTAATGGAATATTGGCAACGGCCAACAACGTTACAATATTATTATTTTGCACAATTTCATCCTGTGCTAATAATATTATTACTATTACTTCCACTCTTACGAGACACATCTTGCAGTGTGGAAATTGATATTGATATAAATGAACAACCAAAAACATTGGTATCAACAACTATTGCCTACACATTTTCTGTTAGGGTTTGTTTCCTTATCAAATATATTCCTTTCTTTCTTTTTTATCACACAAAATATTAATAAATATGATAATGTTGATTTTAATTAAAATGAAGTGAATGATGATAAATAATAACTAAGGAAATGAAAAAAAAGAGGAATATGGAAAAATATATATGCAGGAATTTTTTAAATTGTTTTGATTTATTTAAACAATGAGAAATTTTCACATTTTTACTTACCTTACTTTACTTCCTGTTTTTTTTCGACATTGGTTTTTTCAATTTATGTGAAAACTATTAAATTATGCTAAGAAAGAAAAAAAAATTATTTTCGCTTTTTAGCAATACTGTTACAATAATAAAATAATTATTACTTGTTACTACTGTCATTATTTCACCCAGCTGTTACTGCTTTTTCACTTTTTCTAAAAAATTTAGTCCTTGTTAGATTGTCGTGAAAGACGAAATATTTAAATTATTATATCCAAAACTAACAAATTCCTCTTATCTAATTCCTTTTCCTCACACAACAAAAACCCTTTGTTAGTAAAAATCCTTCGATAGCAAACCCTTTGTTAGCAATTAGCAGTCTTCGTTTCACATCAGTTAAATACCTCTGCCAGATATCTGGAGTTCAGTTCTGCATATAAACAATCGTCCTCTATACGGTTCATTCTGCATTTTGGGATAACACTTTAATGTTTTATAATTATATCTTTCGTTACGCGTTTGTTAATCGGTGTAGCATCCGTACGATATGTATAAAGCGCTATTATTTGCTTCATGTTAAATAAAGGTTTAATTACCCAAGTTTGAGGTTTCACGACAAAGAATAATTTTGGTGCCAGAGGTGAGGTATGTCGGCCAGTATAATTGTTCAAGCTACACCAGTAAAAGCGAATCTCGAGGGACTCCTCGATGAAATACAACAAATGGATCTAACTCCGTTAGACCAAAAAGCGACAGTAGAAGTATTGTGCCAGCAATACGAAGCAAGGGCAAGGATCATCAAAGAAAAGTTGATGCGCCTCGAAAAATACGTTGGCACTCTTGAGAAGATCAACGACAAATGGTTGGAACACATTCAACTAGCCCCAATGTCGCAAAAGAAAAAAGAAGAAGAAAAATACGAACAAATGGCAAACGACGATAGAGGTATTTTAAAATTAATTAACATAGGTACGGATACCATTATAACCTTATCTATGTACAAAGATGATACAGAGTTAGCCCTTAAACGTCTAGCACAAATTAAAGAACCTAGCTTAACTGAATGTCGTCCAGTAGTAAATTTATCACAATTGTCGTTACCAACGTTTAGTGGAGACCCTAAAACATGGAGAGAATTCTGGAGTAGTTTCGAAGCCTCCGTACACTCTCAAAACATACCAGATATCCAAAAATTAAATTACTTGGTTTCTTGCTTAAGAGGAAACGCCCTACAGCTAGTAAGAGGTTACGATAGGGCACCTGAAAACTATAGAATTATAAGAGAATTATTAGTGGAGAAATTTGGTCGTGTTTCCACTATAAGAAAATTACTTTACAATGAACTCATATCTACAAAACGAAACAACCGAGACTGGAAAACAATAATCGAAGAAATGGAGAGAGTTCTAAGGCAGTTAGAAGCAATTGGCGAAAACGTAGAGCAACCTACCATCGAAACGATAATAGAATCCAAATTGCCAAACTGGATATTAAACCAGGTTTATCAACAAAAAGAAGAAGATGGCCAGTGGTCCGTAACAAAACTTCGACAGCTTCTCAGGAAGATAATTAATAGAAACGACCAGGTAATGGAATGGCAATACTTGGATAACGTCAGTCGTAAAAATTTAATTAAACGTCATCCTAACGCAAGCATTCCAGAAAATTCAGCATTGATTGCAATAAAACAATTAAAGCAAACAAGAGGAACGGCTTCAGCCGAAAGAAACCAGCTAAATCAAGAGAATCCAAATTGGTCGACAAAAAAGAAAAGGAGACCCTGTATCTTCTGCAATAACAATCACTGGGATAGCAAGTGTCACATATATTCTACAGTGGAGCAGCGAATTGATCGATTGAAGGAAATCAATGTTTGCTCTAATTGTTTTAAATCTGGACACAACGAACTCAACTGCATAAAAAGAGCAAGTTGTTTTTATTGCAAAAAATCCCACAATAGCGCCCTTTGTACCACTAAGACTCGTGATTCTGGGAAGATTGTTGCCAAAAATGCAAACATATCTGTTAATTCAACTAAGAAAGTTGAAAAGAAACGAGTACTGCTTTTATGTAGAGAAATTAATGTCTTTAATCCTGATAAACCTGAACATCAAGTACAAGCTTGTACTGTTTGACGTCGGCGCAGATGCGACCTTTATCTCACAAAGACTAGCTCATCGACTAAATCTCCTAGAAACTGATGAAGAAGAATATAAGATCTCTTCCTTTGGCAATAGGACTCCTCGAGTATGCCGCACAACTCAAACACAAATTGGACTGAAAACGGAAAACTCCGATCAAGTGACTATGCAAACGATCTTCAAGTGATGGAAGTGGTAGACAAAGGTGAGAATTACCATCTTAAAAGTTACAAGAAACAACCTGACATAGTCATAAGAGCTGACTATTTCTTCAACTTTATTCATATGGAAAACGCTCAGCAACTAAAGTCAGGATTCACTTTACTGAACAGCAAAGTTGGACCTATCATAGCAGCAAGCGGTTATACAAATGAATTGTGCCATCACCAGATCTTTGCAACGAAGACATCTCAAGAAAACCGTGCCCCAGATATAGATCAATTTTGGAAGTTGGACTGTATTGGCATCCAAGATCGATCTGATACACAAGATGATGAACAAGCACTGGAACAATTTAAGAAGAGTATCACTAAACAAAATGGAAGATACGAAGTACGTTGGCCATGGAAACCATGCAAAGGCAAATTGAGCGATAATTATGGATTATGCGTCAGCCGTTTACGAATGCTGATAGCACGACTTCAGTCCCATAAAGAGGAATTACAAGAATATGATAAAGCAATACAAGATCAACTACAATCTGGCATAATCGAAGAAGTACAATCACAAATGAATACTAGCCTCAGAGAACGCACGCAAAGGGAAATTACCTCATCCAAAGGAGCACAAAAAAGAACTCCAAGAAAGGGAGAGATTGTACTCTTAAATGAATCGGGAATTCCAAGAGGAATGTGGAAATTATTTCGGATCAAGGATATCAAAATCGATAAAGACGGTAAAGTTAGGAACGTTCAGGTGAAAACTTCCACTGGGAAACTTCGCGATCGTCCAATAAATGTCTTGTATCCTCTCGAAGTTAATGATGATGAAATTCATCTTGAACTTAATAAAAAAGAAAATATGAAAATTCCGCAAACCGAAAAGAACACTGAGGAGCTCCAGGAACCTATTGCGATGCGAACTAGGAGCAATACAAAACGACAATCTTGATTAAAGGAGGTCAGTAAGAGTAACTTAATGGTCTCACTTTTATCAGTATCTATGCTTTATACCTTAATGATACCAGCGAAGGCAAAAAAAAAATGCCAATGGAAAACAGGAATACCGTTCAATATTCCAGAGAAATGGAACTGTGAAGAAATCACGGCACAGAACTCCAGTCTACTTCAGGTTAATGTTTACACTCGCAGTCCTATCACACTCCCTGCGATCAAGTGTAATAATATCATCCGAACTGTGTGTACTAAAGCATTTCTGTGGTTTTCTTTATCAGTAATTTCGGACCAAACAACTACCACCGCACCATCATCAGAAACCTGTAGAGATTTACACGATCAAAGACAGATCAATTGAAGTAAATTAGCCCAAATTTTCCATAATAAATGGACAACAACCAACCAAGTACATTACTACTACGGATGGCTGGGTGTTAGATGCCAATCCACTACAAATTTAGTATTAACAGAAAGAGAAATATTCCTTTAAGATGGAAATGGGTCTGTATCGGATTTCGAAACTGCGGAGAATTGTATTACACAAGACGGAAAATGTATTACAAACAATAGTATCGTTCTATGGGATATTCAACAAATAACGAAGAAGTGTCGATATCGTAAGGTGGGAAATTTTAATGCTCAATTATACGAAAATCATGTTATCATAGACGAACTACAAACATCATTCGTCTTCAGCAAAGACAACAAGTTTTATTTTTGTTTGTCGGAAACTTTCAAACTTCAACAAAACATTTAGAAGCGAAAACTACAAATTTTCTAATCCCAACTTAATGGATGGTGACACTGTTATTGACATTGTAACGAGGATCGCTAACAATAGAAACAGAAGGAATACAAATTTAGCACTCGCTTCACCTAGATGAAGCTAATGATGAACACAAAGAGAAGACGATAGTGATCCCGAAAATAGAAAATTTCAATACTTATTCGATAGTTTGCAACAAGAGTTCCAGCAACAATTAAAACTAGTAGAACAGCGAACTTGTGAAAATCGAAATAATCTGTTATTATTAATCGAATGGTTATCGCTGGATAATCCTACCCTCGTTGCGAATCTATTATTGCAAAGGGATGATGTGATCGCTAAAAGAATCAAAGGAAAATTATTGATCGCCCTGTACAAGTCCAATTCGCTTAATATAAAAATTATTGAATTTAGAAGCGGATTGATAAGTAAATTTGAAATCGATAGAATCAATGCAGCATTAGAGATATTAGCACAAAATCAACAAATGATAAATCCAGTTTTCGAACAGCAAGAAACATCCGAAATTTGGAATGAACTCGGCCAACGTGGAGAAGAATTAACAGAACAACTTGAAGGAACACTTGAAGAATGGAAGTGTTTTTACAAGAAAATTTGGAGAAACTCCTTTCGCACTGGACAATAATTATAATTGGGATAATCATTGTGGTAATATCAATTGTACTTATTGTCTTTAAATCTGACTTTGCATTAATTTATTCTATATTTAATTACTTATGTCATAAAGGTCAAACTCGTCAAAGGATCGAAATTATCCCCATGGAAACTTTACAAGCCCCACTTTCTTATGAACCCCACGCATTACCCACCTTTTCTGGTCGGGAGTGTCGTGAAAGACGAAATATTTAAATTATTATATCCGAAACTAACAAATTCCTCTTATCTAATTCCTTTTCCTCACACAACAAAAACCCTTTGTTAGTAAAAATCCTTCATTAGCAAACCTTTGTTAGCAATTAGCAGTCTTTGTTTCACATCAGTTAAATTTCCTCTGCCAGATATCTGGAGTTCAGTTCTGCATATAAACAATCGTCCTCCATACGGTTGTTCTTTCTGCATTTTGGGGTGGTTTTGATATCATTTTAATGTTTTATAATTATATCTTTCGTTACGCATTGTTATAATATTGATTTGTCGGTTTAATTACCCAAGTTTGAGGTTTCACGACAGAAGTCATTTTGATTAATTCATTAACTCATACCATTTCTCTGCAGATATAACAATATCACTAGAAAACATTTTGATTAATTCATGCCCATTTCTCTGCAGATATAACAATATCACTAGAAGATATTTTGATTAATTGATTAGCGGTCTGAGTATCATAGATCTATGAATTGCGAATAGCGGTCTGAGTATTATACATCCATGAATTGTGATAACGGTTTGAGTATCATACATCCATGAATTGTGATAACGGTTTCATGAATTGTGAATAACTGTCTGAGTATCTTCTATTCATAAATTGTGAATAACAGTCTGAGTATTATACGTCCATGAATTGTGATAAGTCTGTATCATACATTCATGAATTGTGATAACGTTCTCACTATCATACGTCCATGAATTGTGATAACGGTACAAATATCATCCATGAATTGTGATAACAGTTCCATGAATTGTGAATAACGGTCTGAGTATCTTATATAAATAAATTGTGAATAACGGTCTGCGTATCATACATTCATGAATTGTGATAACGGTCTCAGTATCATACATCCATGAATTGTGATAACGATCTGAGTATCATACATCCATGAATTGTGATAACGGTCTCACTATCATACGTCCATGAATTGTGATAACGGTCTATCTTATATCCATAAATTGTGAATAACGGTCTGAGTATCATACACCCATGAATTGTGATAACGATCTGAGTATCATACACCCATGAATTGTGATAACAGTCTATCTTATATCCATAAATTGTGAATAACGGTCTGAGTATCATACATCCATAAATTGTGAATAACGGTCTGAGTATCATACATCCATAAATTGTGATAACGATCTGAGTACCATACACCCATGAATTGTGATAACGGTCTATCTTATATCCATAAATTGTGAATAACGGTCTAGGTGTCATACATCCATGAATTTCATTTATGTTTGTTCATTTATGTTTATTGTTATTGAATAATTAGTTTATAATTTACGCTGTATGAATAGACAGACAGCAACTAGTGATAGCGATGTTTTATTGAATGTATTCATAGAATGAAGAAGTTGAGAGATCGTTTTTGTATGACAACGATAGTTTGTTACATTTGTTAAAAAAAAAAGAAATTAAAATTTCGTTCTTTTTTTTAGACAAAAAAGGAAATTGAGGAAATTGAGCAAGATATGATAAGTTTCATATGTTAACATTTAAAAAATAATAAGAGATATTTTATACAATAACATTTAAAAATTAATAAGGGATATTTTATACAAAATTTTCTGCTAATTCCAAATGGCTTTTGATTGATTGGAGTACAAAAAAATAAGTAGGAGGAATTTTTAAACTTCCATCATTCTTTACCATCTAATAAACATATTTTAATATTGTATCGCTTATTACAATATTTATATTCTACAATTAAATATAAATTTTATTCACAGTTGTCTAAAAAAAAGTTGGGTAAGATGTTTAAAAAGCTGTTCCTTTGATGTTTTTTGATGGTTCGAGATACTTCTTTCAAGCATGTAGATATTCTGACATATCGTTATTGCGTAATGTATCACGCAATAAGTTTGTTATTTTATTGTATTCTAGTTTTGAATAATATGTAAAAATAAATAATAACTATTGCATAGAATATATATATGATTTATTATCTTTCTGTTTTTATTATCTTGATATGAGGAATCTTGATAAGAAAAAAATAAAATATAACCTAATGAAATCGATAAGTCGCATAATTGAGATGCATTCTCTTGAACAACCACCAAACAATTCTTTAATGTATTCATCTTTACGACAGAGTTGTTTACATCGGCCCACTTCTCCTTGTCTTGCATATTTTTCCACGGTAAATAACCAACTGTTATTTCCACCGTAAAATTAGTCATAATATTAGTGTAAAATAGAGGAACTGGAATAATAAATATAATCGATTATTAGATCAATTAGAAAGAAAAAAGAATTCGAATTTGTGATTGCTTTTGAACGAATTGAACTGCACTATTTAATTTTTTTCTGATAAAGATAATACTGAAAATATTTTGATATGAGGAAAAGAATGTCCATAGCAGTAGGTAACTGTGTCATTTTCATTCGTGAATATTGGCTTTATAAGTGTGAGCTCGAAATATTTAGGAAAGAGAGAAAAGAGACTACAAACTTGCTGATACAGCCAACTTTCTAGATCATCTTTTCTGCACTCCTCATGTGATATATGACTGCTTATCGATGCATATCTGTAAAAAAATGGAATCTAAATTTAATTGGATTTGAATTTAAATAAACTCGATTTAACTACAACTATTTGAATAAATTTAAAACCAGTCATTGCGATTAACTTAGCTGCATGCTAAATTTTTTAATAAATCAATCAGAAAAATAATCTTTCGAATTTTCTTGATTTTCAAAAGTTAAAATCAACACCTTGACAAAATTAGGGAAATTATTTTATTGTACTACTTGAGAGTACCAGGGAAACCAGCAGATCTTCGTGGATTACGCATATACGATTGATTCTTAAGATATTTACGACACATGCCAAAATCGAGTAAATAAATTTGAAATAGATTTTTACGACCAATTGCAAAATTAGCGGATTTGATATCACGATACAAATATCTTAATGCACAATAACTTTATATAAGTACATCTTGCACTAATCATTCAATTTTTAAAATTTAGATATTCTTAAAGCTTTAAAATTTTCTATGATAGTAATATTAGTTTACCCAATGTTATGAAGTTCTTTAATTGCTTCCAAACATTTCACACCTACAGAAAGTGCGCAACCCATAGAAAATTTCAATATTTTTTGTGTTGGATCATGTTTTCTCAGATCTTATAATTCAAAAATAACTCGAATTTATACTTTTTTTTTCAGTTTTGTTAAAATCTTCTTATTGTTGATATATTTAGCCAATTTTTTTTTTTTTAAATGAAAATTTATTTACTGTGAGTGATAGTCCAACTAGTGTCATCACCAAATATTTGTTTTCGCCGCTATCCAAAATGTCACAGAAATGTGTGCTTTTGCTTTCTTTAATAATGTCAAAACATAGTATTCTGCTTTCAACACCTTTATACCACTGTGGTCCATAATTTTCTATTATTGAATTAAGAATGATGGTCGAGAATTTAGCAATTGTATGAATAGCTATATTTATTATTTACATTTAACTTTTTTTTTTCTTTTTTGTCAACAATGCTAGTTACCGAATTACTTTGAAAATATCATTGTTTTACTAAAAATTAACTTAATCTGTTGATAAAAAGAAAAAAAAAACGACGCAATGCACATTTTCATGGGTATTCGTTTCCCTTACTATCTTTTACCTGTAATTTCTTAATTAATTACTGTCCTGATCTACAGGCGATACTATTAATTAAGATAGTTCAAAGATTTCTGAGTTAGTTGCTATCAATGATACCAATTAACATAATTTACCAAGTAAACAGCTCCAACTTCGCCAATTTTGTCCAAAACAGTCCAGTCACCAATTACATCTCCGGGATGTAAATAAACTATTTTCATTGCATCTAAATGCCTTTTAAATTTAGTTAATTAGATATTGAAATTGTATTTTTTCTCAGCGATTTAATTAACAATTTTGGTAATCGGTCATAGAAATATGTGATATTAGGAGAGAATTTAGTTAGATCTTCTTCTGGATTAGATTAATCTCGACCATTGTGCACTCCTAGAGTGTACCAATGATTGGTCACTTTATAGAATTACAAATATATAAAATAACTTTTATTAAGAATTCCAGAAAATTTATAGCATTAAAGATTGATGAATTTTTATAAACTAATAAACTTTCTCATTTGCATATAATACTCCTTCATCCATTCCAATTTGCAGTTTGCAGTTTGAGCTTCAACATAATGAACTTCAAAACATAGTGCAATTTCAAAGAGACTCTATTTCTTCATGCAACGTAATTATTCAGCAGATATTAACGGTACTTAATATAAAGAAACGTATCGTAGTTGAAAGGACGCATTAATATTTAATAGCTTTTTAAGAATTTAAGGCCAGTAGCAGTATAAGTATGCACTGCTACCATAACTAAATCATACTGCACGCACTGCTATTATCACTTATCACTAAATCATACTACTTAAAAGTAACCTGAAACTGATCAGACCTCTGATCAGAACTGATCAAACTTAATGCTAACCTAAAGATTCATTGAGACGGTATCCTTATACACCATTCTGAATAGGTCATCACGATTGCTGGTGTTATCATATTGTTGTCATTGTATTTTTCAAGTTAATGGGAGACAACATTCGACAGAATCACTAAACTTATGAAATCGATGGAGCACCGGCAATATGAACAACGAAGTGCTGCAGTTGGTGATATCGGCGGGACACTAGATGACGCTAAAAGGCGACAAGGAGATGAATGGATAGTGTTGGAGTCCGTATATGGTGAAGACTTCCGCGATGCTGCCCAAAATGCTTGGAAGCTTTGTTGAATCGACTGATTAGATTTGATTAATTAATCATTTTGTATACGATTGATGTAGAAAGTCTCTCTCATTATCTCCATTATCTTCATTTGCTTGTTTCCATGAATGGACTTCTCGTTGTTGGGCATTGTCGACAGCAAGATCCAATCTGGCTAAATGAGCTTTCTGTTGATCGATAATTTGACTCTGATCTTGAATCAGTTCTTCCAAGGCATTAGTACTCAATTTTTCTGCGAAAAAACCAAACAATTTGGGAAGGAAAATAGAAAATTAACACATGTCCAGTGTCATGTACTAAATTTGAAAAAGGAAACAAAAATTTCTAAGAATTCACGAAAACATCCACTGATTCAAAATAATGTTAATTCAGTTGGATTAAAAGTTATTCCACATTTTGGACGAAATTTTTTTGACAGTTATGGTATAAGATTTTTCTTACACCAATTAGGCAAACTATTTTTGTTAAAAAGGATAAGGAGAAGTCACCATGAAATAAATTCAAACTTTCCTTTTCAATTTTTATCTGCTTTTTTAAAAATTGAAATTACAAAACTTACTTATCAAAACACCACCGCTATCCAGATTGATTGGCTGAGACGCCACACTGCTAGAATTGGAATACTTTTACAATTATTCAAGCATAATTGTGTCTCTTTCTTGCTTCTTATAACACATGCATATCACGATCAGTGATAAATCGAATCTTGTAATGAAGCAAGTGACTGAGGAACAATGCTTCAATTATTGTCTTGTACCTAATATGAATCTCTTTCTAGATTTTTTCGGAAAAAAAATAATAAAATTATCTGATTAACAAGTCTTTTAAAATTTATAGATCTTTTTTTTAATGTAATTACTGAAATAAATGTCTTGCTTCTCCTGATTTGAATAGGTATCGTTTAATTTTCCATTTTTTTCAGGAAAACAAAATTGATGACCAACGTTTTCCATGTAAATTGTACGCATATAATGAAAATAGAATGACATGTCATTTGACTTCAGAATCCGGTCTGATACATTCAACAACATTTGTTCCAGAGCATTTTTAAATGTATTTAAGATTCAGAAACTAGAATCTATGGATTACTCACACTCAACGTCACAAAAAGATGACATGAACATTGAAAATAAGTTAAACTTTCATGTTGCTGAAATGGATAATGAACAAATTGTTAAAAAAGCTTCACCATCGAGAGCAGGAAATGATGATCTTCGTTTCAATGAAACAATTGAAAGATGATTTGAAATCCAGTCCGAAAAACTGATTTTACAGCTTTTCAGTCGTGAAGGATTGGATCCGAAAGAGTTAGCTTATTACAATTTCTTACTGTAGCATACATCTCACTGGCATATCACTTAAATCTCATCTAAGGGGGCAATTGATCGAATCTATTTTGTTCATAACTTATGAAATGGGACATTCTAGCCTGCCGAAATTTTCATGAAACTCATTTAATGAGTTTCATGAAATTCTCGTTGTTGGGCATTGTCAGCACACCATGACAAATTTTATTAAAATTCATTAAAATTTTAAGCCCTATCCAAAAATTTATTTCTTTTTTTCTGCTTCAAACATTTACACACATATATATGTAACAAATATTTTTTCAACTTTTTTATTTGATTTTGTCAATTCGTAGAAAAGAGTGAAACACTTGTATTAGATCAAATTATAATTGTAATAGCTAACAAAAATCGAAAACAAAATTTTTTGATAAGATCAAACTTTTTTAAAAAAATGAATTTTTTTAGGTGATTGAAAGATTTCAAATCATTTTTAAATTGTATTTTTTTTAATAATTTAGTAATCAAATCTTTAAATTGAAATCATCATTTTCGAAAAAAACATAAATGCATTGTTGAATTTACGATTTTTCAAATAGTGAATCATTTGAATTAATTACGATTATTGCACTTTTTCCACATCCGGTTCCGGTCATTTCGGTTTTACTTCAAAAATAAATACCTTGTTGGATCAGCTGCCCACCAAACGGAATTCCGCGAAAGTCCCCATGTTCGGCAATTATTGCTCGTTAATTGTCCATCATTATCATTATCCGTATAAAACATTGCAGCAATATCATCTGCATAAACAGTTCTTGTGCTCTGTGCCTGTAACTGCATTTTATTCAAACAAATGAATTACTTTTCCAGAATGTGGAATTTTTCCCGTGAAAGAAAAAAGGTCCAAGCGGACGACAGCGCCATTGTGGTGTGATCGTTGGTGATTGCGCTTATGTATTTTGTGATCTCGCGTAAGGATTCTTTAAATTAAAAAACAAAAAAATTATAAACTTATCAAACTTTTAATTTATTGCAATATCAATCATATAATACATAATTCATAAATGAAAATCAGTTGATTAGATAATTATTTATTAAATATTAATAACAAAAATATTTGAATTATATTTTATTTTACAACAAAAAATAAAATAAATAACAATAGAGATATTTCTGAAATTAATTATATAATTTAAAGCTATGAAATGAATACAATACATTTATAATGTTTGACTTAAATATGCATTTCATATATTAATTGAAATTAAAAACTGTTATTTTTAAATTATTGCTGCAGTTTTTCTTTTTTGTATACTTAATATTTGATTATTGTCAATTTTAGACAACTCATTTCCTATAATGAAATGCTTGGCTTTGGTTGTTTACTGGAAATGTGTGATCTCAATGTTCTTAATTTCAGTTAGTTTTGAAATAATTATTTTAAAAAAATAAATAAATAAATAATTTTTCTCAATATTTTGTCAACAATAAAATAATTCTATTCCTTTCAAATAAATTTAACTTCCAGGTAAGAGGAAAAAGTTGGAAGTTGATTCTTAATAAACACTGATACTACTAAAAGTTCATTCAAAAACTAAAAAATATTTCTTTGGAATTAAAAAAATCCAAATGTGAAAGGAAGTTCTTTAATAAAAATAAATTATTTGTTACAATGTATTCTGTAACAATATTTCAAACTGCGTATAATTTGATGATGAATGAAATTTAGCGAAGATCAATTTTGAAATTATGCCTACTTTGAGGAGGTTGTGCCACTTTCACATGGAAAGAAAGATAAAGGATGTAATTAAGGGGCAAAAATTGTTTTCCCCTCTCCCACCCTCCCTTTATTTATTAGATTTTATTAAATCATTTTATTTAGTACCAATTTTTCTTTTTTTTTTTTTTTGAAGTTTATAATTTATAGTATTATTGTAGTAATTGGATGTCAGTTATCCTAAGATATCATTTATCTTATCAGTAAAGATTTTTATTCCTTTTTTTGTCCCAGCAAAACTATGTGTGAAATAGATATAACACATACATCAATAACCCAAACTTATGTCATTTATTTGTTTGTTTTTTTCTTTTGAATATAAATAAACTTTTAGTATATATGTTTACTTAGTTGACAGAATGAAAAAATAGGAAGAAAACCCGAAATGACATTTTTCGAATGTTCATTTGCTGGATTATTTGTTTTTTTTTTTTCTTTTTTTTTCATTAAAATAATATATAAATATTTCTATGTTCTTTTTTCATTTTTTCCTTTCTCTCTCTCTCCCTCTGTGTGTGTGTTCATTTTTCCTCCTTTTTTTTTGTGGTATTATTATTATTCCCTCCTTCCTCTCTTTCTTATATTTATTTATTTTTTTTAAATAAATTAATTGAAATTATAAAATTTTACATAGTTTCTTTTTCTTAGCTATATTACTTCTGTTAAAAGCCTTTATTATTTTGTGATTTATAATACTTCTATTTCTGATATATCATTTTATTATTTTTATGTATGAATTATTGATGACTTATAATAATTATCTAATCATTGGTAACAATTGTAGCAAGTTTTATCATTTTATACACTTTAATTTGAGCGAAAATATTATTCTTACATTTTCGCTTTTTTTTTTTTTTTTTGTTTGTTACAACAACTATTGCTGTAATCTAACGATAGATAACTAACAATCATTAATAAAAAAAGAGAGAGAGAGAAAAAAAAAAAGATTGTAATCTTTGATTATCAAATGATATTAATTTCATCTTGTCCTTACTGTCAACGAAATACATACATAATGGAAGTTGCATTTGGACGAACCAATTAAAGTTTATGAAGATTAATCTATTTTTTCTTTTTTGTGACATACCTTATCTTGTTATCTTTCTCTCTCTCCCTCTCTCTCTCTCTTTGTTGTTTATTTCATAACATTGTATGTATCTACGAAACCAACATATGATTATTATTATTATTATTTAACGATTGATTGCGGTAGATGATAAGTGATATAATATTATTATTATCACTATCATTCTTAATGGTTAAAGATTGAGGAAATGACGAACAATTTTTCTTATTCTGGTATCACTCAACTTTTTCTTCTTCATTCAAAATATATTGGAATCAACCAATATATTTTGAATGAAGAAGAAAAAGTTGAGTGATACCAGAATAAGAAAAAGAAGAAATAAAGACGAATAGAAAAACATAACTACTATGTCATTCACAGAACACCTGCTAGCATTGCTCATCCATCTCATCTTGTGAATGATCGTTAATATTGGCATTTTAATTAAAGCAAGCTGTTATTGATTCGATTTGTATACAGGAAGATTTGATGGAAGAAAAAGCAGACCTGAAGCATGAAAATTCACGTTTGAAGACAAAAATGGATGAAGTCAATTCAGAATATAATATTTTTCGGGTTTGTTCTATTATTACTGCTGCATATCTTCTCTTCACAATCAGTAGTTTATTTGTTTGAAATGAAGCTTTCAATTTTTCTTTCACGGGAAAAATTAGTGGCTTGAGTATTAACTTATTCAACATTATAAATAGACAACTATTATATTCCTCATAAAATAAAATTAAACTAAATGAAATTAACAAACATCAGAACTGCCAGAACGACGCAAAGAAGATACATCGTTAGCAGGCCTGTTCGGTCTCAAAGTTTTGAATTGCTCTGGAACGGGAATTTTCTTCACCGGTGGAGACTTAATATCTTTAACAATTGGTTTGGTTTTGAGTGATGGTGGTGTTGGTGGTGCCAATCCCGGTCGATTGATCTAAAGCTCTTGGAAAATGAAAAACAATATAAGGAATCGTTTTAATCGACGACATTTTGTACATAGATATATACAACTGAGACCATATTTTCTGTTCAGAAATGAATCTCATCAGAAGTAAACTAACAAGTGGAATTTATATTTGACGTATATTTCACGTCAAACGTGCCAAGTATTGATTTTCGATTTGAATTCATCATTTTACAAAAAAGTGTCATTTTATTTCCTTCCATTCGTCATGAAACACTTTTTTAATCCATTCATTCAATCAACAAAACACACTAACCCAGGCATTAAAACGGAAAAAAGTTTTTGTTTCGAATTTTCATACCCGAAAGTTCTCATCCACTTACTGCTTTTATCGAAAATAATAATTTGTACTAAAAAACCTGATAATAAATTCAAAAGTTTTGAATATTGATTTTTGACATTTCTTGAACACTGTATAGCTATCTTAACAACCACAAGGTGATTAATTCAGCTTCCAACACATCCTTTTGTTTGATGAAAAATATATTGCAGATATAGAATGGACGCTGAAGGCTTCGCTGTCGCTGAACGTAATTTACGATCCTGGATTTGTCAAACAATTCTACGCCCACTCCTTGTGAAGATTGATGAAATTAATGCTGTCTTTACAAAGGCATGTTTTTCGAATATCAAAAATTTTTTTCAAATGATTAGTGGTATAAAATTAAGTAAATTAATTTTATACCACTAATCATTTGAAAAAAATCTCAAAGTTGAAATATTCATGGCATTGACTTGCTTAATGCATTTTTATCAAATCTAATTAAAAATCTGAGAATAAATAAAAAAAAATGATTGCACTAAAAGCAATTAAAATAGTATTTTATTTTAAACATTATCTGTACCATTTTGAAAGAGAAATTCAAAATGACATTGCATACTTTTGCCGTGAAAGAAAGAAAAAAGTTTGAATAAAATCCAACTTACTTTACATTCGATTACAATAATGCGTCCTTTACTATCAACGCAAACACCACGAGGATGCTGCAAAATGTTTGCTCCAAATTTGCGCAAGAATTGTCCGTATTGATTATAAATTTGTATCTGATGTGTTGGCGAACGTTCCGTTACGATAAAATCGCCGGTAAGACGATTTACCGCCACACTACAAATAATAAACGCATGATATAATAGGCTTAATGACCACTCATCGCATTTTCCTCGTAAATTAAAATACTAGAATTTCGAGAATTTAGCTATATGGTCCAGGTCATTAAATTTTGTTAAATTAGCGCTATATGATTAACATGTCTCCTACATGTATATATTCAAAAAAAAAAATGATACATTGCTCATTTATGATATTTAAATTCGAATCTAAGAAGAACTATCTTACCAAATAAATGTTTTCAGAACAGACTCACCCTTCAACTGGACAATACGCCGCACAAATCTGACACAGAAAGCAACTCCCAGTCAAAGTTACATGAATAAAAACTCCAAACTCTTTTCTACTTGGATATCTTTTTTGCATACACCATTCTCTACTTATATTAAATATTAGCGTCAAAAAAGTTCGCAAAATAATATATGAACCGGTTGGGATAAAGCAGCTGGCCATCACGCTTACCACATTCCCCAAACTGAAATTTGAAACGACCTTCCTTATCGAATACCTGGATACGATGATTGTTAGTGTCCGCAACGATAATGTCATTTTGTGCATTTACCGCAACTCCGGATGGTTCCGTAAACTGAAAGAAATTTCTTCATTTTCTATCATTTCTCCTTAATTTATTTTAAAAGGGTACAATCAAACCACGATTTCAATTACGGATGAAATCATCATTTTCGATTTGAATTCATTTTTTATGAATTCAAATCGAAAATAAACTCAAATTTATGAAAAAAATTTAACAGTTTTATTGTTATTATATTTTTCATTTTACCTCTAATTAAATTTTACCTCTAAAAAATAATTCACTTTTTACCTCTAATTAAATTATTTATAGTTTAATTTAAAAAATATATAATTTGGGCGATTAAAAGTTTAATCTAATAACAAATCTTTTGTTAAAATTAAATGTTCAAATTAAACTATAAAATGACAACGCAATCATAACGTAGCAAAACTTAATTACAAAGGCTTATTTTAATATTTTTTTCAAAAAAAAAAAGCAAAAAAAAATTTTGATAAAATAAAATTTGTATTGAAATTTTTACTGCAATTTCTTCATCAGTTTATGTAACATCTATTTTTTCAAAGTTGAAAAATATAATTCAATTCTATAAATTATCGTAATTTTAGTAGTAATATTTCTTTTTTTTTTCTCCGCACTACAAAATATCCTTTTAATCCTTCCTACCAATAAGTATGATTGCAAATAAAATTAAAAATTTTAATCCTACCAATAAGTATGATAAATAAAATTAAAAAAAATTCAAAACTGTAATATATTTTGTAATATATAAAAATCATAAAAACTTTTGAAATTAAAAACTTCAAAAATTTCACAAATTCATTCAAAGTAAGTAAATAATTTAGCATAAATTTTGAGTCATTTCATAACTATATAAAAAATTATGTACATAAGTTGAAAAAAGAATTCCTTTAAAAAAAAAAAGTGCAAATAATTTATAAAATTAAATATTTGCTTAAATTGCTTTCAATTTTAATTTCAATTTGGAAGTGTCAAAAAATTTTTTAAATATAAAAAAAGTATGAAACCGTCGCGTTAATTTCACAATTATGACGATATACTAGGATGACTGTTTCACGTTCCGGACGTAATATTCCGGCGCAGTCTAGAATACTGATTCGATAATTTGACGTACACTTAATCTAAAGCTATTTCTGTTAATTTGAAATATTTGAATTGAAATTACTTTGTATAACTTATATGATAATTTAATAAACTAATTCTGATGTAAAGCAATTAAATATTAAATGTTTGAAAATGATTGCTCTTATTGTTTTTAAATAATTAATTAATTTTTTGGATGATTAATCAAACATAGATTATCTTTTTTAGATTGAAAATTATTGAATTAAGAATTTTAAATAATAGAAATTTCTTTTTTGGTTCTCTAAGCATTTTTTTTTTTGAAACTTGTTGACAAATCTTATTAGTTAGTTTGTTTACATAACAAACATTTCAACAATTAATGTAATTGTTATCAAAATAATTCAATTCACTAAAAACTTTTTTTGCTAAAAAAAAAGTATAAAAAAGTATTTTAACTAAAAAAAAAGTATTACTTAATAATTTATAAAATCATCCAATTATAAATTATGTTAATTAATACTTTATAATTATTAAAATATTCATTAACATTTATCTTGCCTTATAAAGAACAGGGAAATTGCTTGAATTACGTAGTGTTATTGTTGATGAATCATTTAATTTTAACTGAAAAAATTTTTAAAAATTTGTCCTTCAAATTAATTTACAGTTTTTTTTTTTTGTAATAGTTAAACTCTGAAGTTTATAATGATAGCATTATTTTATGTAATATGATTTTTAATCTTTTTCATTTTTTCTTTCTTGTTTAAATTCATTAAATTATTCTCACATCATATGAATCATCATCATTGCATGCATATTTAGTTATTCATTTTTATAATTGAAGCAAAAAAAAAAGATTGATTTCAATACTTCATGGAATCTAATTTTATCGTAGACAAATGTTTCATTTAAATATTTTAAATTAAGATTAACATGAATGAATTTGATATCAAATAGCTTCGCTATCAATCATACTGAAAAGGTATTTTAACCTTCCTGCAAAGAATGCCAGGAGTATGCCATCGTTTGACATTATTTCAAAAAATAATTGTTTTATTTTTCTGCATCAATCAGATAATATTATATACATGCCAAATGGAAAATGGTAGATAATTCAATTTGTTGAAAACACAATATACAAAAAAAAAATTACACTAACGTTAGACAAAGCTGACCGCCCCGAATCGGATTGCTGTGAACTACGAATGATTTTTTGGGCAATTTCATTCTCGATTTTCTCAGATAGAATGTCCAATCGTTTCATTAATCGCCTTTCAACGACAAGTAAATGCTGAAATAAAGGCTGGAGAATAAAAATTTCGACCTCAGTCGAAAAAAGTTTCATGCTAATGTCTAATTAGATAAGCAAATATTCTTTGCAAGACAAAAACTTCACACAGATCTACATTTTGAAATAATTATTAGAAAACTAAAATTTCTAATTTTTATCGAAGATAAACAAAATCAATTAAAAAATTTCACAGATCAATGGAAACAACCAAATATTCTCATAGGTGCTGATTACTTCGTTAAGCTTATTCATTTCGACAAACCAGAAAACTTAAGATCCAGATTTTCTTTGATCTATAGGAAGTTGGACCTACGCTAGCTGGAAGTGGATATATAAACGAAGTTCACAACAATAAAACCATATCAGTGGACCATGCTCATCTAGCCAATGCATAATATAAATACAGGCTTAGATCATTTACAAAGTGGAACTGGCAGTGATGAAAAAACATTGCTGTCGCGAAACTCGAAATAATCTCGTATGTGCATTGTTTAGTATGTTAAAAACTACTCCTTTGTTCTTGTCCAAATAATATGACGAATGGCGCTCTTGTTGCTGACTGTAGTAGTAACAAGAGCGCCATTCGTCATATTATTTGGACAAGAAGTGGATGCCTCACCAACGTGACCTTCCACAATATGACTGCCTCCCATAAGCTGTATACTGTCTAAAACATTATGAATTTTACAATTATTCGTGTAAACAAAGATTTAAAATAGAATAATAGATTTTTAAGAATTTTGATAACAAATTAAATACAGTTTATAAAGAAGTACGAAGTTAAAAAAATAATCTAAAAATTGAAGAAAAAATCCCAGATATTCAAGTTTTTGAAGGCAAGACAATATTCAAGATATATGTTAATGGATAGTACATCACAAAAATTTCAAGCTGATATACAAGCTTTTTCTGTGAACTGAGGAAATAATGTCTCCCGATCCAGTAATAACAAAAAAGATCCAAAAACCCACAATTAATTAACTAATCCAGTGATGATATTTTAACTGAATAACACTTAATATTCTCAAAACATTATGCAGATAATGAGATATGCTGAAATGGGTATAAAGAAGAGCGATAATCATAAACTTCAGTTGGTTGCTTCTACAAATGATCTTACCTTGATTAACTAGTGCTTCACGAAGAAGTTTATAATCTGCAAGTACGATGACTGGCCCAGGAAGCCATATGGTGAACATTGGACCAAATTTCTTTTTCCACTTGATCATTGAACGATGTGGATAAGCTAGATCAATCTAAATCACATTTCCTCATCATTTCTTAACGAAACTTCATACTGACAGTAGATACACCTCTAGTAGGAACATTGAAAGTTTTAGGAGGAACATAAAAGCTTTGTTAATACATAAAGGCAGTTAAGATTACTTTTAAAGTAATATAATATAGCGTTTCTTCTCATCGTTTCCAATATTCATTTGCTCTCTTTTCTAATTCCTCCAAACTTCGCAACTATTCATTTTTCATTTAGGCGACCAAAAATGAAAAGTCAATCATATTTTTAACAGAATGTAAATTGATACAAACTTCATAAATTTGAATAAAATATTGTTCTCTAGAATCTAAAAACTGTATCCCTTGAAGGAGCAATGAAAAATCTTAGAGCAGACAGTTTTAATAATTGCTTGAACGTTAAAATTGAAAAATAATTGCTTGAACGTTAAAATTCAATAAAATTGAAAAATTCCACATTCTGGAAAAGATCAATGAGACTATAAATGGGTAATTCAGTTTTCAATTCTCTGGAATTTAGTCTCATTCCGCTTACTTAATTAGCATTCATCTCCATAGATTCTTAATAGCTAAATTTTTATTATCTAACAGCTGAAATACACTGAACTGCTGAACAGAGAATGAGCTACTAGGATTTTTTAAGAGTCCGGAAAGAAGGGTCACAGAATAATACTATTTCAATTCTTGATATCTTTGGTTTCGAGAATTGAAATAGTATTATTTCGTCATTTCCTCAATCTTTAACAACGCAAAAGTATACAATGTCATTTCAATTTCTTTGTTATTGAGGAATACAAAAAAAGAAGCCAAGATGAGAAGACAAAAAGCTAAGAGATAATTAGTTAGTAACTTAAGCTAATTTATCTTTAGCATTTATTATATCATCATTTCAAAGTATAACTAATAGAAGTGTTTTAATTTAATTCTTTATATAATTAAAGTAATAACTTATAAACATTTGACATTTGACAATTAATACATTTCAAAAATACTTTACAACAGTTAACACATGAAATTTTCGGGATATTTTATTATATCATTAGCAGTTAACAATACATTTCTGTTTAAAAGCTCTGTCTCAAATCTTCTTCAGATATACTTTAATTATTATCCCATTAATAACCTTATCAAATCATTGATTAAAGGATATTCATTTTTATCATGAAACATGATTTGAGCGAAAATATTATTCTTACATAACTATCATTTGTAAAAGATATTTATTCCTAAAAATAAAATAAATTCTTTTTGTCAAATAAAATATTTTATTTAAGTAAATGACAAACATCAAATTATCTTTGTTAAAATACTTTTGTCGTTGTTTTTTTTCTCTCTCCCTTTTTTTTTTTTTTTTGTTCAGCTTATAATTTTTATGACAAGTTGTCCGCTTTTTTTCTTTCGTTTTTTCTCCTTCTGAAAGACAACTCTATTTGAATTTCAAAATTTTTTTTTTCCCAAATGATCATTCTCTTTGATTGATTTCATTTCATTTTTCATTTTCTTCTCTTTGTTCTCTCTTTTTTCTCAAATATTTTTTAATAATAATAATCTTAAAGAAATAGCCAAATAAGCCAAACAAATTCATTCATTAATGACAATAAACTTTATCTAATTTTAAAGTGAAGAACATTCGCTGCGGTGTTTCGTTCGAATCATCAAGTAGAAGAAAGTAAAGGTCAAATGAAGTCAATAAAGTTCCATTGCTGTGCAATCCAATTTTCTGACTACTTGCAAGCTTCGAGAGCTCTAGCCATCCCGTCGACGATTTCATTTTCGGTTGTATGATTATGGACCGGATCGAACTTATAATAGAAGACAGAATTCGAATCCTTTTTGGTATGATATATACCAATTCAAACAATTAGCGTTAATGTTATATTAAGAGTGACAGGAATCAACAATTTCTCAACCTGAAAATACATCTCACTATCTCCCCAAACAATATTTGGTTGTAATTTCAGTTCAAGTGTAGCCAGTCGCTCCATGGTGTATTTGCAAATGATACTCGACAGTGACAACTATCACTTCATTTCATATGCTGTAACACCATTTTAGATCCCTCTCATTTCTCCTCCTCCTGTTCTCCTTCCACCTGTATCTTCTTTTTGACATTTTCAGATTTAAGCAAAAACTTGAAAATCAAGCGCAGTCTCACCTCAGCGCACGACAATAAAAAGTTCACCGACTGCAAAGCGCCCCTACAGAGAATAAAGATGGAGTTATTTTTCCTTCTCACTCTATTAAACCTGTCTTTCATCTAGCTACATATTTTGTAAACTTTAATTTTAAATAATTTACATAAAAAATATGTACGAGTATGATTTCCTCACCGTCTGAACTCTCTAAATTTCTCTTATATTTCAAAGAAAATGATGATTTCAATTTAAATTATGGATGAACATTATCTGTACCATTTGAAAGAGAAATTCAAAATGACAGTGATGACATTGCATACTTTTGCGTTGCAATTAGTTCTTCCAAGTTGCATATCTGTTGCTAATGACAAACAACACTACTTTCGTCAAGTTGCATATTTGTTGTCAATCAAAACTAAAGTAATCAAAATGGTTTATAGTAAGGAACCACACAATTTATCTTAGACACAAAATCATGTTTCCTTTTTTCCCAAATTTTTTGAATGCTTCAAAGTTCACTGTAATGAGTTACCAATTAGTGCTGATTTATCATTATTTGCGGTCTGTATTTCGATGTGTAATTGAATGACCAGATCCCCGCAGCGTAGGTTTAATTTGCATAAATTTAGTTTGACTTATTTTAAAGAGCACATAAGGCCAAGTACGTCGAGAAAGAGGTTAAAACAGCTATGTTAATTTTATTGACCATATGTCAAGGTCGAAAGAGAGCTCTTCAAATGGATGATTTACAACAAGAATGGCGGCTCATTAAGGAAACCTTCCTTTCTCTCCCTTTATCAGCAACACTACCCTCACTTTTATCCTTCAGGAAACTCATGTAGCTCATTAGCACGGTAGATCCCCTTTTCTTCTCCCTTGTTCTTGATCCCTTTAATATTCTACTGTAGGGTCATTTATTTATTCATTTAGCCAACCAAGGTGAGAACTCAAGATGATCTTTGTTGTGCAAACACACACAAGTCCTTCACCAAGCGTCGTGTAATAACGAATTTAAAGGAGACAGATCTACCTTACCCTTGCCTCTATCGATTAAGGCAAATTCATTAAGGGAAGATTCCATGAATTTTATCGGTTCTATTCAGCACTTAGGTTAGAATTCTGCACTGCTACCGATCAGAAAGCAATGAAAATTCATTTCATTGAATAATAACAAATCAAAACTTGTTTCCTTCCCAAGTGGATTAACGAAAACAAATGTTGCTTGTTCTTCATTATGCTTACATATCTGGAGCTGTGTTTTTGTTTTATTTGGTGGCGATATCCGTTGTCCTGGAATCCAGAAAGCATTTCGTAAACAATGAAAAGGATGAAATACTGAGGTGTTGATAAATAACAAGGAAAATGCATAGTCTACATAAAAAAGCATACCTTGTATTTCAAATTCAATTTCGAAAATTTCCAGAACAAAATTACGCTCTTTGCTTGGGTAAAAAAGGGAAAACTAAAGAAAAAACACTAAAATTTTTAATAAATTCAAAACTTAAATTTGAATTTAAATTAAATTTAAATTCAAATTTAAATTTTGAATTTTTTAAAAATTTTAAAATTTGTTATAGTTTTCTTACA